TTCTCCAGTATGCTGGATCTCAAATAGCAATAGCAGTTAGACTTATATACCACTTTACAGCGCCTTAGTCCTCTCTAAGAGGTTTACAGAATCAGCCTATTGCCCCCAACAATCTGGGCCCTCATTTTACCCACCATGGAAGGATGGAAGGCTGAGTCAACCTTGAGCCTAGTGGGATTCAAACTGCCAAACTGCAGGCAGCAGGCAGGCAGCAGAAGTAGCCTGAAGTACTGCACTCTAACCACTGCGCCACCGTGGCTCATATCTCATATTCAAATCTGGAACGGACCTCAAATCTGCCAAAAACAACAGCCAATGCTAGCATTTTGAAAGGTTCAGAATACTGACATTCACTAGCACTTAGAATTTATTTATGTATGCATGTCTGTATCTACATACATAAAAGCGAAATGCCACTCACACATCATCACAAAATCTCCAGAACCACAAAGCCTACAAACTTGAAATTTGGCATGTATGTTCCTCTTGGCTTCTAGGTGCTCACTAAGAAAGAATTTTTTGAAATGATCATTAGAGCATTAGTATTTCATATATTATTATTAACACGCTCTGATGCTAAGGAGTTCTACTCCACCTCCCCATCTGAAAAGAAATCTGTTCCAAATGCAAAACACAAGAACAGTTTCAGTTTCAGATTTAGTTTCACAGCAGAATAGAATAGAATACTTTATTGGCCAACTGCGATTCGACACACAAGGAATTTGTCTTGGTGTAAATACTCTCGGTATACATAAAAGAAAAGATACATTCATCAGGAGTCAAGAATCATCAGATACGATACAATGATAGTCATAGGGTACAATAAGCAATCAATCATACTAGGAAACAGTCAATATAAATTGTAAGAATACAAGCGACAAAGTTACAGTCATGCAGTCACAAGTGGGAGAAGATGGGTGATAAGGACTGATGACAAGATTTAACAGTAATAGTGCAGACTTTGTAATAGTTGAACAGGGTTGAGGGAATTATTTGTTTAGCAGAGTGATGGCTTTCAGGAAAAAAAATGTCCTCGTGTCTAGTTGTTCTGGTGTGCAATGCTCTATAGTGTCGTTTTGAGGGAAGGAATTGAAACAGTTTATCTCCGGGATGTGAGAGGTCTGTAAATATTTTCACAGCACTCTTTTTGACTCGTGCAGTATACAGGTCCTTGATTGAAGGCAGGTTGGTAGTAACTGTTTTTTCTGCAGTCCTAATTACTCTCTGAAGTCTGTCTCTGTCCTGTTGGATTGCAGAACCAAACCAGACAGTTATAGAGGTGCAGATGACAGACTCAATCATTCCTCTGTAACCAGCTTTAGTACAGAACAGTTGAGCTAGGCCACACCCAGGCTCCTTGTTGTCCCCTTGCTCACACAGTAAATACTGTTTCACTTTCCAAACAGCCCTCAACTCTCTCACACCCTGACAGGATGCTAACCAGATGAATAACGATGGATGCTGGTAGGCAGAGGCAGAATTTCCCCCCCTTATTTTCCTCCCTAAAAACCTAGCCCGACCACATAGTTTTGTAACAAAGCACAGGTATCAAGCTAGTGTATGTATATATTTATTTATTAAAATGTATTAGCTGCCCATCTTGACACATGATACCTCTGGCTGGCTTACAATATTTAAAGAAGTGGGGGAGGGGGGAATGGTAGGGAACATAAGGATTTTCATCTCTCCTCTGGAAGGGTCAGAAAGGCTTCAGGAATCCCACTCATTCTGAAAGATAATGGCAGGAAACAAAAATATAGAATTGAAGAAATACGTAAGCTTTTTTTTTCCCCTTCAGAAAGACCTATCCAAAGTACAGAAAAATAATATAACTGATCCTTATGCGGAAGATATACAGCATTTATATAGGACACACTCCTCTGACCACTTTGAATAATATATCCATTGTGTTACGATCAATATAAAGCTGACCAAGTGAAAATGTGGAAAGGGATATACAGAAGAGGTTTTACAAAAATTCCTTCCCTTATAACAGTAAAAGACAGAGCACCAATTACGATATATAAAGGTTCTTATGGATTCTGTGCACTGAGAGGTTAATAGCCTACAAATTGTGTATTAATAAATTTGGATAAATTCACGCAAAACTACCCACCTCAAATTAAAAACAGGATCTGCAAAATGTATGTGGTTGTTAGAAACAGATACAGAAAGTCCCTCCCTAGGTTTGGAAAAAAAATGGGAGACTGATTTGGGAAAACATCTGGATGATAACACGTGGCAATATTGTGGAAATCTGGGGGATTTTTTTTTTCTCAGCTATGTAAGAATCATTTTGGAAGATTCTTGGGGGAAGGAGAAAATGTATGAATTTGAATGCCACAACTAGAGAAAGAATTAAAATTTCACAAAAACTCAGATCATTACATATATTTGAAGGAGTAAATATGCGGTGTATAAGAAACACTTTTAAGAAATTAAAAAGGCATATAAAATTTTGTCTGTAGCTCTACTCAAAAAGGTATCATATTAATTCTCTAGTCAGCCCATCGCCCCCAACAGTCTGGGTCCTCATTTTACCCACCTCGGAAGGATGGAAGGCTGAGTCAACCTTGAGCCTGGTGGGATTTGAACTGCCAAATTGTACTGCACTCTAAACACTGTGACACCGAGGCTCATCAGCTTTCAATGCAGTTTTCAACTTCTATAAAAATATTTCCTTTTCCATTGCTCAGGGTCCCTCTTCGTTCTAAAGCAGGCACCCCACAATAAACACAGTTCTCCTCAGTGTTTTCGTTCCTCCTTCAGGTTGAATCCTGGGATTCAATGGAAATATGGAAAAACCAGCATGGTGCACCATCACTGTACATGATTTGGGAAGGAGTGTTATTTGTTTTATAAATATTAATAAGACTTCTGTCCACCCACAGGATATGTAGAAATTACAAGATGATCTGACATGAGCCTACATAATTTTGATGCTGGCAAAGTCTAAATAAAAAATAAATGTTTAAGTTTGAACATTAATTAAAAAGGAGAGAGGGAAGAGTGGACACATGCGAAACCAAAAGTTGAAGCTACAAGAAAGGAGGTTCAGGCTAGATGGTAGGTGGGAATTCCAGATTGTCCCAACTGTAAGCGAATGAAGAAGTTGTGTGAAATGGTATCTTCCCTTTCTCTGCAAGTTTCCAAATTCTGGCTCTCTAGTCATATCTCTGGAATTCTTTAGAGTGAAACAAAAGGTAGAACCAGATTGTATATTTGTACAGGACAGGTGTTCTTCAACCTATGATCACAACTGAGCCCCAAATTTATGTTGCTAAGTGAGACATTTGTTAAGTGAATGTTGTCCCATTTTACAACTTTTCTTGCCCCCTTTGTTAAGTGAATCACCACAGTTGTTAAATTAGTAACACGGTTGTTAAACGAGCCTGGTTTTCCAATTGACATTGCTTGTCAGAAGGTCTCAAAAGGTGAGACCCCAGGGCACAGCAACTGTCATAAATGTGAGTGAGTTGTCAAGCATCTGAATGTAAATCGCAGGACCACGGGAATGCTACAAAAGATCCTAAGTGTGAGAAATGGCCATTAGTCACTTTTTTTTTCCAGTGCCATTGTAACTTCAAACAGTCACTCAGCAAATGGTCGTAAGTTTAGGACCGTCTATATTAGATACCTGCAGATTGTCATTAATTGGTAGACTCATGAAAAGTCCCAGACAAACTGACTTCTGGGAGAAGAAAACCGTGTGCTAGCAAAGAGCAATTCCTGGAAGGCTTTGAACAGACTCGATAATCCCTGCAGGAAATAAAACCCATGAAGAGCAATTCCAAAGAATATGAATAGAATGATCTAGAAGGGACTTTGGAGGTCTTCTAGTCCAGCCCCCCTGCTCAAACAGGAAACCCTATACCATTTCAGATAAGCGACTGCCTACAGGTAGTCCTCGACTTACGACCACAATTGAGCCCAAAATTTCTGTGGCAAAGTGAGATGTTTGTTGAGTTTTGCCCCATTTTACAACTTTTCTTGCCACAACTGTTAAGTGAATCACTGCAGGTGTTAAGTTGGTAGCCCGGTTGTTAAGCGAACCTGGCTTCCCCCGTTGACTTTGACTGTCAGAAGTTTTCAGAAGGGGGAATCCCACTGACCCCCACCGGAGCACTGGCTAGCAAACCTCACAAATCAGTTGCCAAACATCTGAATTTTGTTCACCGGATGCTGCAACGGTTCTAAGTGTGGGGAAAAAACGACCATAAGCTACCCTTTTCTCAGCGCCGTTGTAACTTCAAACGGTCACTAAAGGAAATGAACTGTTGTAATTCGAGGACTACGTGGACAAGCCGTCTTCCATCCTCTCTCCCAAACGCCTTTCTTTTGCTCAGGGGTCCGGCGGCTCCTGTCCTGGGTCTCTTCACCCAATGGAATAGCTACAAGAAAAATAGGTTTACCGCTGGCCTGTGCCCAAAGTTTGGTATTCAGCAGGTTCTGACCACTTCTGGAGAACCAGTAGCGGAAATTTTGAATAGTTTGGAGAACCGGCAAATCCCACCTCTGACTGGCCCGGCCCCCATCTATTCTCTTTCTCCCAAGTCCCAGCTGATCATCTGGGTCTTCTTTTGTTGCCTTGCAGAGGAGAACGGAGCTGGAAAGCAGGTTAGTGGGGTGCGGGGGGGGGGGGGGGGAATGGGGATTTTGGAGTCTCCTGCCACGCCCAACAAGCCACATTCACACAACCGGTAGTAAACAAAAATGGAATCCCACCACTTGCCTGCACGCCCATCCCCGCAGGGGCCTTTCTTTAGATGGGAGAGCGGCGTCCGCCCGCTGCCTTGCCTCGCAGCTCTTTCTCCACTGAGGGGAGGGAGGCTCCGCCGGAGGAATCTCTGCCCCGGAGCCCTATGACGGACGACAGGCGGAAAGCCAATGGGGGAAGGGTCCGTCAGCCCTCCCAGGAGAGGATCCGCGCAGGAAGGTGGGCTGAACGCAGGGGGAAGGAATGCCTTTAGGCCAGCCCCGCTGGCTCCGGCTCCGACTCCTTGGAGGATGGGCAGAATGGCGAGGCGGGACGGCTCGTTTGAACAGGTCGAGCAGCACCTCCCGAGGGCGCCACCGCCGCCTGAGGGGCAGGTCACCGGGCGGAGACGATGCCAACGGCAACACCAACGCTCCTACCACCAGCATGCATTCCCGACGCCGCGTTCATCCTCTTGGACGGGGACTCAGGCAGCCGCCGCCGCCGCCAAGAGGCTTTTCCCCTCAATCCCCACCGCCGGCGCCGGCCACCGGAGTCGCTTGCGCTCTTTGGCCGGAGACCAGCTGCCTCCGTGGCGCAGGCGCCGCCTCTTCATGGAACCCCCCGAGCCGGCTCCTGGGGATCCCCGCGCCCGCCGAGGCTTGTGGAAAGCGCCGAGCGGGCGGCAGTGGCCCGTCCTGGTGGCCTGCTTGACCTGCTGTACCTTGCTCGGCTGGTACGCGGCCAACGGCGTGAATGACGCGGCGGCCCCTGAAGGCCCCCAGCCGGAGGAAAAAGACCCCGAGGTGACGACGGTGACGGTGCTGGTGCTGGTGTGGTGGTTGCCTTTCGGGAACGGCGTCGTCTCCGACAACTGCTGGCAATTCAACATCAGCGCCTGCCACCTCTCTACCAACCACAGCCTCCAGCCCCAGGCGCACGCGGTGGTCTTCCATCACCGGGACCTGCAGCGGCATGGCCTGGGCCAGCTGCCCCAGCACAGGCCGCCAGAGCAGCGGTGGGTCTGGATGAACATGGAGTCTCCCACCCACACCACGGGCCTGCGAAACCTGGGCGGCCTTTTCAACTGGACCATGTCCTACCGGGCCGACTCGGATGTCTTTACCCCCTATGGGTACCTCAAGCTTCGCCCGGAGCCCCTGGTCCAGTTTACCTTGCCCAAGAAGACCAAGCTGGTGGCCTGGGTGATCAGTAACTGGAACGAAGGCCATGCCCGGGTCCGTTATTACCACCAGCTGAAAAAGTATCTCCCCATCGATGTTTATGGATCTCACAAACTGTCACTCAAAGACAACAATGTGATCAAGACCGTCTCGGAATACAAGTTTTATTTGGCTTTTGAAAACTCCCAGCACCAGGACTACATCACCGAGAAACTCTGGAAGAACGCCTTCGAATCTTGGGCGGTCCCCATCGTCTTGGGGCCCCCAAGGGCCAACTACGAACGGTTCATCCCTTCTGACTCCTTCATTCATACCGATGACTTCTCCGACCCCATGGAGCTGGCGGTTTACCTGAAGTTCCTAGATAAAAACAAGAACATGTACCGAAAGCATTTCGCCTGGAGGAAAGAATATGATGTGAGGGCGACGGCCTTTTGGGCAGAACATTGTTGCAAGGTTTGTAAAGTAGTCAGAGAGGTGGGGAAACAGCCCAAGACCGTCCAGGACCTAGCCAAGTGGTTTGAAAGTTGACTTCCTCGGATTTGACTGAATTTCCATGCAGGATGGTTGGTTTGACGCATTTACCCAACCAAGGCACAGAAAATATATCAGGGATATTTCAGCTTTTCTTAAGTTATTGATTAACTTAATTGATAAGTTAAGATTGCTTGGTTTAATAATTATGGGGAGATTCACCAGTGTGTGTGTGTGTGTGTGTGTGTGTGTGTGTGTGTGTTTATGGACTTTTTTTTGTTCTTGTTTCTCTCTTTTGGTCTCGTATGGTCAATAGAGTTCTTTACCAAACTGAAGCACAAAAGGGTTTGGGTGCCACATAAAGGTTTATTTGCAACCTTCGCAAATAAGCAAAACCATTAGCAAAATACGTATAAAATTATAGCGATCGTATCAATTCAATTCATCCCCTCTAATATTAAAAGCACTATTTTGTCAGGATGTCAGGCTTTCCTAGCTTTCTTGTAGCTATTGCAAGCAATGCAATGTTTTGTTCCATGTTTGTCTTCATCAGACAACAAAAGCCTTTTTTTCGCCTTCTTATCTAGATTGTTTCAGTTGCATTAACCAGGGCATAATGAATCTAGACCAGAGTTCCTGATAAAGTTTGCAATGTAATGAATAATGGATCAAATCTTCCTCCTATAAGTTATTGCACATGCGTAAAAGGTGTGTAGCTGGTAATCCTCTGTATTTTCCATCCAAATAGGCTGTTGGCCTTGTTTGAAAGTGAAGTTCTGTGACGGCTTTTCTCAGGGAATAAGATGTAAGAAACTGTCAATAGTCTGACATTCCTGTTTCTTCTTGATATTCCTTGTCCTGCATCCAGGATTCTAATTAATATGTGTACTTGAGCTCAACTTTCACTAATGTGCCTGATTTTTATAGAAGTAGAATTTTTAAAGTGGAGAATATTTTTTAAAAAATTAGACTTTCTTACCCCTATATGCATAGTCTTAAGAGGGTGATATGTAATGATTTACTATAAGGTTTGCCAATGTTATGCCTTTCATTGTCAGACAACTTGAAATTATGACTTGTTCTTTTGTTTTACACATATTTTAAAACCTTTTATTGCCAAGATGAACTAGAAACACAGATATCTTTGGCAAGATACAGAGTGTCAAGGCAAAATAGCTTTATTACAAGGAAATAATTGCATTCATTGGACCCATGTTAGCATTTTCAGTTTGTTAATGCTAATTACAGTTCTACTTTATTAAAATTGATAGACTCATAGGCAAAATAGCTTCCTAGCTCTGACTATTGATTCAGCTTGCATAGTTTCCACACATTGGATGATATAATACAAATTATACAACTAGAAGAATTAGCTTATTGGTTAGTTACTTGGCAAAACCACCTCTTAATTGATTAAAATGCACTGAGAAAGTAATTTAGAAAAAATGTTGCTTTGCTGTCTGATCAGGGAACTTTTTAAAAAATTAGTCTTTTGAGGTTTGGCATATATATTATAGATAGTTTTCCCAGGTTGTAAAAAACAGTTAATTTAGAGAGGAAGAAATTCCAAATATCATTTTTTTCTCCTCACAAGCAATTTATAGATAGGATCTTTTGTCCTGGAATAGAATATACTAAGAAATAAAGTTTTATATGAAACATTCATTCTTAACACTGAAATTTGATATTACTGTATTATTGGTTCAATGAGAGTTAGCAAAGCAGTATTAGTGTCAGTGGAACACTGTCAATTAGTAGATTTTTGCCCACTGACTAAACAGACAAACTGATATTGGGAGACCTTTACCCAATTAATTTTTTTCCCAGCCAGAATCTATTAATGTTTTTTTCATTAGAAATGTCAAGACATGGACTGTACAGGTAGTCTTTGACTTACAACTGCAGGTGAGACCAAAATTTCTGTTGCTAAACAAGATGGCTGCCTTTATGCCACAGTGTTAAGGAAATCACTGTAGTTGTTAAGAGACTCATGGGATAATCTGGCTTGCGTTTGCTTGCTGGAAACCAGTTGGGAAGGTTGCATATGACAATCAAATAACCCAAGGGCAATGCAGCCATTGTAAATACATTTTGGTTGCCAAATACCCAATTTTTCCTCAAATGACTATGAGGACGCTGCAACGGTTTTAATTGTGAAGCTCAGTCATAAGTCACTTTTTTCAGTGCTGTTGCAATTTCAAATGGTCACTAAACAACGGTTATAAGTTGTTGAGGACTGTTTGTATTAACTGCACGTAAACTGATATTAAATTTGATGTGTTTTCACAGTTTTAACAGTTGTACCAGTCTCAAAGACATTTTTGGTCTGCTCATTCTAAATTGCAACAGGCTCTATTTTATTCAGCTAAGTCGCCTGTAGACACAAATTACATAGAAGAAAAAAACCAGCCTGATATAAAAAGACTTCTATTTGGAGCACATGAAAGATTTCTTTCACTAAAGATGAATGTATTTGCACACAGAAGAAAAGTAAGGAGAGGTGAGGTAGGAAAAAAAAATAAAGCAAACAACTTCACTGGTTTATTAAGAGTTTCCGTGGTTTTTTTGGTGTGGGGGGCCATGTTGGAATTTTCCTGACTTGTCCTGACTTGGAAAAGTTAGTTATAATTTCAATTAAATCAGATTCGCTCATGCAGGATAAATGCCACAGACTCACCTGTTGATAAAATTCATGTAGACTGGTTTCTACGACGGGTAGAATCCTATTGTAATTTATTTTCATTTTGTTGCACTTGCATTAGTAGTAGAGATCTTTATGGTTCAATAGTTCATCAAAGATTCTGAAATCGTGTGGAATTGAAAATGCTGTGATGGGAAAAGAAGTAGACAAGCTTGCAAAGTAGATAAGCTTGCAAACTGAAATATTTTGAATTTTGAAATCATTTGCTGGAAAGGCTGAAAAGAAATGAAAAGAGCGTTAACATGATCTATTTTTTTTAATGGTGAAAATTCACTGCTGTCTTTCAGGAAGATTTTCCACTTCCTGATCTAATTTATATCCCTGGTATTTCCCATCAAAGCACTTAACCAGGATCAAGCCTGTTGACAGTGAGCCGAAAAGTTTTAATACAGATTAAGCGGTGTTTTCCTTCCTTCCTTCCTTCCTTCTTTCTTTTTTTACGATCATAAGGAGCAATAACTTGCACTAAAGACAATATTGTATCTTCTGTAATTTGCACTGGAATAAATGTTCTAGTCCTTAAACTGCCACAATATTATTTGTCCATTTTTATTCCTTATTGGAATAAATTGGAAAGTTTGTCTAATGTACGTGTGAAGATATTAGCTTCATGAAATGCTCTGTAAAAGGTTATACTGTATTGAGGGAAAATGTTGGTTTAAAGTTATTCCTAACAAACCTTGTTTTGCAATGTCATTTTAAAGCAAGCCTCCTGCTTATTTTATGAATGTGTTTCTTTTTAGTGAAATAATATTTTATATGTTTTATATCTCATTCTTGTTTTGTCCTGTCTTATTTCTTGTTCTTAACCTTATAACGGTCACTTTAGCTTTCATTACATGGTTGAGAAACTAAAAATTTGAGGCCTATACAAATGCACAAGTATTGTCATATTGATTGCTTTTCAAAAAATACAGGTAGTCCTTGGTTTATAATACAACTGGGACCCGAATTTTAGTTGTTAAATCAGGTGGTTGTTAAGTGAAAGTTGTGCCCTATTTTATGATTTTTTTTTTATTTTTTGTCACGGTTAATTGAATTTCTGCAATTGTTATCTGAATCATGGGATTGTTAAACAAATCCATCTTCCCCAATTTACTTTGCGTGTTGGAACCCAGTTGGGAAGGTTGCAAATGGCGCCTATGATTCTGGGAACTACAATTGTTGTGGATACATGCCAGTTGCTAAATATCCAAATTTTGATATTGTGGCCAAGGGGACACTGGGTTGGTCATAAGTGTGGGAACCAGTCCTTTTCAGTGCCATTATTATTTCAAAGGGTGACTAAACAAATGGTTGTAAGTCAAAGATTATCTGTACAATTCCTTCTTTATTAGTTGTATGAAAAGGCGGGCCGTCAGTGAAATCATGATCTCCTTTTTGGACAACTCTTTTGATAAGGGAGACACAGTTTTAATGTTCATTAAGACAGCAAAAACAGCAACCCAAAATTAAAAAAATATATATTTTCAGGTAACTTTAATATTATTGATGGACTGTATTTATCAAGGCTGTCATTCAACAATGGAAATAGCTGGATAACCTTTTTCCTTGAAAAATGGTTTTGATAAGATGTATAGAAAGTTTAAATTATCTGACTGGTTAAATGTAGAAGCTATTATTTGTGAAGAAGCTGTTATTATTATGATACAGTAATACAGGGTTAATTAACAGGCAAGGCAAGAAATCTCATATTATATACAGATATTCCTCAACTTATAGCCACAATCAAGACAGTTGTTAACCATCATAAATACAGGCCAGTTGCCAAGCATCTGATTTTTGATCACATGACCATAGAAATACTGCCAACGATTGTGTGAAGAATGGTCATAAGTCACTTTTTTCAGTGCCATTGTGTCACTAAACAAATGCTTGTAAATTGAGGACGATCTATACTATTGGTAAACTTGAGTTTCACTTAGCTCATGTTTTTATACAATTCTCCTTAGATAATTTTTATTTTTGATTTGGGGGTTACTGTTTTATCAGAGCCTCCTTCCATCTACAGGGTATAAAACAATTTTGGAATGATTTTTAAAATGTAATTTCCTGCTATATAATGTATGCCTCCTTGAAGATATTTGGTCTCTTGTTTATACTGTTTGCTATTACTATATTAGTTTTGATTGTACTAATTTAAAGGTTAATGTGATTTCTTTGCTGATGTTCTAGCAAATTTTCAGTGAATACACAGTATGTTTGTGGTTTCTTCAGTAAAACATGCTAATGCTAGCATGATTTAGGACAGTAGTGTTGTGTAGTATGACATTAGTTAAGAGACAGCTGTCATTTATTTCTTAAGGTGTGGAATTCTTAACAAAAATAATGTAGGAAAGCTAAGAGCTTCTCCCTTGTCCAGAGGGAGAGACACATATTTGCAATTCAAATCACTCAGGGAGTTTAATAATTATTAGTGAATGATTTTCATTGATCAAAAATAAGACTTTTGTTATTTGCAATCATGTTTCAGACAAAATGCAATAAAAATCCATGAAATGATGCAAAGCTTGTCTATCTTTTTTGGCCGTGTTCCTTAAATATTTATTTATTTATTAAACTGACATGCTGCTATCTCGCCAAAGCTGATTTTTAAAATTATTCAATAAAACTTAATTTAATTATAAGACTTGTATGCTGTTGTCCATCACTGTGTCCATTGTCCCCATTGCTATTTATACCAGTGGTGGAATTCAAATTTTTTTACTACCGGTTCTATGGGCGTGGCTTGGTGGGTGTAGCAAGGGAAGGTTACTGCAAAATCCTCATTCCCTCCCCACCCCACTAACCTGCTTTCCAGCTCCATTCTCCTGTGTAGGGCAACTAGAGAAGACCCAGTCGATCAGCTGGGACTCAGGAGGCTGAGAATAGATGGGGGCGGGGCCAGTCAGATGTGGTATTTGCCGGTTCTCCAAATCACTCAAAATTGTTGCTACCGGTTCTCCAGAACTGGTCAGAACCTGCTGAATACCCACTTTTGATTTATACTAACATTGAAAGTGTTAAATAGAAATATTAGGCAATACTTACAAATAAAAGGTATAGAAATAAAAAGGGAAAAATACAAATTATTTTTCCACCAGCATTTGCAGGTGACTTAGTATTTATTTTAGAAGAACCACTGGAAACAGGTCCTAAATTAATGAAAATGTAAGTTCACAATTGGCACCAGAATTTTGGCATCTACAATACAACCACTCAGCATTGCAATCTAGGCAGTTCCAGTTGCTCGTTACCTGAATACCTGGTTGTTAGGTAAGGCAGCTTCTTGCCAATTTTCCACAATCAAGTCAATGGGAAGCCAACAGAAACTTGCAGGCCTCAGGCCCTGATGATTGGGAAAGGGAGTGTGTGTGATGGCCTCAGAAGCACTTGGGTTTTCTCTGCAGACCAAACCCACAAAAAAAAATGTAAATTGGTTTTTGCAAATTTAGAAATTTTGTATAGTACAATATATTAGTTTTCCGCTCTGCAAACCAAATTTCTACCAAAATGGTAATAAAAGAAACCGAGAAAGAAAGACAATAATACTTCTAAACCTGTTTGATCAGAATAATCTAAATGTTTTGCCTTACAGGCTCATTCTTCTTGAACTTTTGCCAAATGCACATTGCACATTGCACATTACAATCAGGTGCTTTTTAAAGCAACATGGAGGAAGAAAACTCCGGTCCAGTTCCAATCTAGGAGATAGGCATTGGAAATAAAATGGAGGCTAATTGGGAAGAAAGATTCTGTTTATTGATGTACAGAACCAACAACAGCATGTAGTTCTGGGACAGCTGGCAAATTAGCTTGATGAATGCAAGGATTTTTATACAGTTTACAGTATTGTATAATTTTGAGGTTTGCTTTGCATGCTTTTATTATTTGATTGGTGGTATGTTAATCCTATTAAGTATTCAAAGTCATGTCCTGGCCTTCTTAAACCCATCAATTAGAACTGAAAGTTTTTTGTTTGTGAATATCCTGGCCCGAATTTCTTAATGGGCACAAAATATCCATCTTTTCTGGCACTGCTGGAGGCTGTTGGGGCTGCTTTATGCCTTTGTTAGATTTTTCTCCATTTCTCCTTTGGGGGAATATAATATTTTGCCTCTTTTAATAATCCCCAAAATATTTCATTCTAGGCGGGAGGCTTCCGGAAAACACACACAAAATGGTTCACATAGGCATGGGAACACTGATCTAACCCTCAAAGAAGTTCAAGCAATATAAGAAAAAAAGTAACCTTTCTTTGAAATTTCCTGGTGATTTCATCCACTTATCTATGTGATCTTGGCAACGGAATGTAAGTGGATCAAGGATGAAGGATTCAGAGAGAGAGAGTCTACAATAGCAAAATAGCATCTACATTCACACAATCAAATCCACTGCCTCTTTTTGACACGCATCACTCACTCAGGTTCTACGTAGATATAACCCAGCTAAACTTCTGAGCCGAAAGGTCATGTATCTGTAACTATTTCTGTAGGGTGCTTAATAATAATAATACTTTATTGTCATTGTACGTATATACATAGCATACACATACAACAAAATTCACATAACACCCATAGACCAGATCCAACATGTTATGTAGTACCAAGCTGCTAGACAGAAAGATGAGTGCAAAATACAGAAGTGAGGAACTATGACCCCTTTATAACTGGACTTCAACTTCTAGAATTCCTGAGCCACCTTCTGGGAGCTGAAGTCCACAAGTCATATAAGAGCCACAGTTCTCCACCCCTGATATGGATGAATCAGTGAGTATGTAAAGCAGTTACAAATAATAGTGACTATTTATAAAGCACAAAAGCACCTTTGAAACATTTCAACATAGTGGATTTTTTTCCTGCATACAGTTTATTTTTGATTTATGACTGTAATGGCACCTGGCCATTATGGTTATGACATATATGACCAACCTGATTTTACAACCTTTTATGCGGTGGTGGTTAAGCATACATTGCATAATTGAGCTCAGTCGTTCTCTGCCCAACCCAGCTCATAGGATCACTGTGGGGCAAATAAAAGGAAGGAATATTATGGATATTCAGTACCCTGACTTTACTTATAAAGTAACTCAAAAACAATCAAGCTGCATTACAGTTTCATTATGAAGCTAATCACAAAAGTTAAACTGCATATGTACAAATCCCTGGCAAAGGATCACGTGTCTTTAAACAAATTCACATCAGGCTGAAATTCAACCTCTGTAATTCTTGAACAGGTAGTCCTTGATTTAACTGCAATTGATACAGAAGGATCTTGACAGACTTGAGCATTGAGCGCTATCTAACAAAACGATGTTCAATGGTGGAAAAAGTAAGGTTCTACATTTAGGCAAGAAAAACCAAATGCGCAGGTACGGTATATGTGGTACTTTGCTCAATAGTGGTGACTGTGAGAGGGAGCTCAGAGTCCTAGTAGACAATCACTTAACTAGGAGCCAGCAGTGTGCTACAGCTGCCAAAAAAGCCAACACAGTTCTAGGCTGCATAAACAGGGATAGAATCAAGATCACAGGAAGTGTTAATACCACTTTATAATGCCTTGGTAAGGCCTCACTTGGAATACTGCATCAAGTTTTGGTCACCACAAGGTAAAAAAGATGTGGAGCAGAGGTGGTATCCGGCAAGTTCTGACCGGTTCTGGAGAATCGGTCGTGGAAATTTTGAGTAGCTCAGAGAACCGGCAAATGCCACTTCAAACTGCCCCTGCCCCCATCTATTCTCTGCCTCCCGAGTCCCAGCTGATTGGCTGGGTCTTCTTTTGTTGCTTACTGCTTTCAGAAGTACCCAAAAGAGCAAAGTTACATAGCTCTTCCATCATTTGTTAATGAAATAAGTCAAACAAGTGTGAGCATGCATTGAATAAATGTGAGCATGCACATACATTAAAATAGAATAGAATAGAATAGAATAGAATA